GCCAAGCTTCTATGATATTTCTCATCGAGCAATCGATGCGCATCAAAAATGTGGGGGATTGAAGTCATGTATTTTGCGATAGTGATAGTTTAGTGATAACTTCAAGCTAACAGAGCTAGACATTTAGTTTCGTAGCGGTCTATTTTTCATCGTGCAAACCGAAATTAAACGACTATTGGGTGTCTTACTACTGTCTAGTAACTCAGGACTCAACCTAACTTTTTTCAGTGTAATATATCCTTCTTGTGGTTTTAATGAAGATGAGTTGGATGAAGGGATGATGGACGTCAGAGCACATTTCTGCCACAGCAGGTGGATCGTCGTCCATCTTGTTTCTCACTCGTAGACGAAAAAGTTCCAGTTCCACCACCCTGGAGGAAATGCGTGCCTTGTCATGAAACGTTAGGGGAACGAGTTTTATTTTCGTTATCAATTGTTGATTCCCATTATGATTTGTTCTTCCCATATCTGATTTGTGTACATGGTTTCGGGAGAATGACATCTGTTTCGTATTTCGATCTATTAGATCTGTTCAGAAAAAAAGTTCTAGCCTGTTTACAGTGCGATGCTCGGATTATTATCTAGTAGGTGTTCTCTGAGAACATGTGGAACTTCCTGTATCACGAAAACCAGCTCAGTTGGGCTACCAAAGTTAATGTTTAAGATAAATTGTTTTTTAAGCCAAACTATTTTAAGATAATCGGACCCTGTGTAGTTGTCACTATGCAGATAGAGAAGTATCTGGGAAGGAAAGGTCCGGACGTGTTCCGTCCGGTCCATGTTAGTCATTCTGTTCGATCTTTTCTCATTATTAAACAAATGAACTCAAAATTCTCAAATGTCAACTAAATCCGGAAATTGCGTTTGGCCGAATGCACGGAAAGTTTCATGGTTTGATGCTTCTGTTCAAATCTATGGTGTGATGCCGACGATTCATCTGTGGGTTCAAGATTTCATCCTGACTCTTAAATGAATCACAGAGTTGGAAAACTTTGTAAATGCTGTTAAAATGTTTGTGACTGTAAATCATCTTCTCCAGTAGGCTCTCAAGTAATGTTTGTTTCGTTGAACTGCTCCCATCATCCTGATGGGCTCGAAGTGACCATCAACTGATTGGTATTCGCTTGATGTATTCGTTTTTCTATCGTTTAACAATTCACAGGATTGTTATTTTCCGAAGACTTTTAGGGAATTTTCGCAGTATATTTAAAGGGATATTGAACCTTAGTGTTATGTTTTAAGGTATTACTTACCACACCATTTATAAAGTGTTTAGTTTGTACCATAAGTATTTTGTTCAACAACTCACTAGCAAACCACGGCCTGAGCAAGTCTTGTGCTAAATCGGGACTTGATATGATGGTAGTACTAATCTGAGATTAGTAAAAGTCTTCTGGATATCGGGTTCATCGTTGGTTTATTTCAAGACTTTACAATCTTATGACTTTGTTGTGAGAAGACTTCACATCTGCGTAAGCCATCCAGCTATCACGCAGTTCACACGACGTCTTCCCAGTCAATAGGTCCACTCTTTATGAAGGAGATTTATTGCTTGAGTCATGAACGACGTTGACTACTTTTTTCATTACTTGATCGATAAGATTTCGTATCGTAGACATCATTTGTGGTTTTTCTAAATGTTGTCTTTTTTGGGTTTTGTATTGAGTCTGTTATGTGAGGACTGGAATCTTTCCTCAGTGACGATGTCGATAAGCTGCTTTTGATGCGTCGTGTGATATCCGTTTTAGAGAATTAATGACTGTAACTCCCACGTCCGACTTCTATTAACCTCGGCACTGATTGAATAATTCTTTCTGAAAAAAGAAAGTTTGGTTCAGTATTTTCTCTGTTTGGTTATGGAGATGTTTGACTGTGTAGATTGCAGTCAACTTGACCTTTCCAGAATCTCTGAGGAAGGTGAAATCTGCCGAAACGTCAGCTTCTGCGTAAATAAAGAAATAAAATAGCACCTCGTGTTTACTGAACAGAAGTAGAAAGAATTAATGACTGTGTTTATGAAGTTGTCTGTAATGGATGAGACACTGTTTGGAGCTAAAATCTGACTTGAAGACTCTTATTTTTCCCGCTTACTCAAATTCGACATAATTTCTATAATGGAGGGAGAATTCTGTATGTAGGAGGTTTAACGAAGGTGACGGAAAAGATGCTGTTCGAAGCTAACGTCTGACGAATTTCCAGTGATGTATTAACTGTGATATCTACATCACTCTAGTTATAACTGATTAAGAACTACGATAATGTAATCCTACTCAAGTAATTGATAGATTCGAGCATGTTTCTGGCAGTGTTCAAGGACGTTTTAATCGAACAGAGAAGAAAGAAAAAGTACTTTCTAGTGAGCTAGGCGTGCTCGTGTACGGTGTATCCCGCGTGTTGTCAAGTGTGTTGACTTCGAGTAATTCCTCCCTGACGTTATCATTTGCTGATCGGTCACATGAGGTGGAGACTCATGTCACGCACTATCGTCACTCGTGGTAGCATCGCTACGTGCTCCTGTAGTCCTGTAGAGGGGGTGGAATGGAATTCCGATGTGGGTGAGATCATTGCATCATTCCCGTGTAAGCGTGTTGATTCATCGCAGTGTGTTAAAAAGAGACAGAATGACGCTTCCATTGCACAGAATTGCTTTCCTTTTATGTGCACGTCGCTAACAGTCTGTGTGCATTGAGAGCCATTTTCTCCCATACGTAGACAATTTGATCCTAGAGCACGTCAGTATGGCAGGCTTTGTAGATTAGGGTAGCATTAACTGAAGATTTAAAGGGAAACGGTAATAGTGGAGACTGACCAGACTGTGAGTTCGATGAAATGCGGTCATATGACGTAAGCTGGAACTGTCAACCAAGTGCCCTGTAAGACTCAGCCAAGTTGAAAAGTAAAGAATTGAATGTTTTGTTTTTTTGATGAGCAAACATGAGCTGCTTGCTTTGTTCTTCAATTCTCGGAATCTATTGTGATTCCAAATTTTCTTATTTATCACTTTGGTCTTATTATAGGACCCACCTGTTACAAAAGATATTTTTTTACCTTAGTTAATAGTCATTTGTTATTAAATTGCTGAAAGCTGTCCAGTGAGAGCAACATGTGATAGCCTTTTAGTAAAAACAGGGGGTACTGTACTTTAGTCGTATGACTAAAAATGTGTCCCACTGTCATTTCCATAGTGTTCCACAATTCTGCGATAAGTTGGACAATAACAACAACAATAACGAGGACAACGGAAAAAATCATGGTGTCACGTGGTGGATAGCATACAATTTCGAATGCTCTTTCCTGTTCGAGGTCTGGTTGGGGTAACAATGGGAAAGAACAAAAAGGAACTGAACAATGCCATGAGAAATTATTTTGTAATTGCTAAATGTTTTTGATTACCTGATACTAGTTTGTTAATGCGCAGTTCTTCAGTCCTCAATAGGTAACGTATTGAACGGTTCGTCTTCGTCAAAGCCGTTTTTCTCGTATATGTTTTAGGGTATGAGATTGTGAGATTACCTGTATACCGCTTACATAAAAAGGATAGGAGGTAAAATGCTTAGCGGTGATGAACTCCTGGAGACGAATCCTTAGTGACTGAGGCCATCTGGCAGAGCCGCTTAACCTGAGGAAAGCGCGATGTATGCGACTCCCTCAAGCACCGTAGAGGTTGCTTGGATATCTGGTCTATACGGTAACTTGCGGGGTTTGTCCTGTATCGTGCAATATTGAATCCGTTTTTTATCGTACCATACAGGACTGACTTTAATTTGTGAACTCGATAGAATGGAGGATTTGGTTTGGACAGGGATCAAAGCAAGGTGCACGAATGTAATGCAAGCACTCTTGAACTGCTGTTCTGAATAGCCATTCAGCTTTGGTCTTGTCCGCTTGCGGCTGTTGAAACCCTTTTTATCCTGAGAGCATTAAAAGAACGATGAAAAGTGTTTTATGATTCCATACGAAATTTTTTTTTGGTGTCGGTGAAAAGTTATTAGTCTTAACCTATATTAGGCCACGAAACAATAACAAGCTTATTGTTTTCTGTTGTGGGTTATGTGGGTTAACGTTAAGCTCTACCGTGCTCTGTGAGGGTTTTCTCGGTAATTCAAAGCATATTTTTCTTCCTAAAGTCTCTTTTTTTCTTTTTGTTACTCATTCTTTTGCAATCGTATGGTTCCATTTGACAGCTCGTAACAAGGGAAAATTTCTATAACGTAGTGATATATGTTGTTAAGTGAACGGCGTTCTTTCGCTCATGAGCTACCACAATTCTTTGACGAAAACTACTTGGTTGGACGTTCTCTGCATTCATTAAAAAAATGTGTCCTTATACAGCCGAGTAATTATTTCATACCAACCGCGTGTTAGTTCAATAATGCAAGACATTCATTGTTCATGTTGAGGTTAGGCAACATTCTGTTCTTTTAGAAATATCCTTATAGAATACGCTGTTTGGTAGACGATTTTTGGGTTACTTAACCAGTTAGAGGTACGGGACGGTTAACACTAAGTGTTGGTGAAATGGCATGATCATGATTTATTAACGCGGACTAACCACCATTTGAGAGTTCAGAATTTCACAGCACTTTGTGAGAGCTGTCAGTCTCGAAGGCTCTGCATGAACCTCCAAAAACATCCAGACAGAGCGGCTTTTCCTAACTCGCATTTCTATGTAGGAGATAATGAAATTACATGTTACGTGTCTATCTAACACCAGAACAAACACAGCACCCGAAAGAAAAAGTTATCGAAAGCAGTAGACACGAGGATTCCTGGTTATCAGTAGAACCGAATGTTGGCTCATCACGAGGATGAAATTGATGAATGATTCGATAGCACTCTTAGGAATCTCTTATATTACTTAAACTGGAAATGTTCTTGATGAGGAAAGACTTCAATTTTACGGTTTCGCAATAAAATCCGGTTTTATTCCACTTGTTGTATGCAAGTTCTTTCGCTTATGAAGAAAAAGCGTCGTAAAAAAGACGACAAGAGCTCAGTTTATGGGGCACCTTATTGGCCGTGAATACTTTTTCATTTCGCTAAAACTACAACAAGGTCGTCGTTTTTCGCCAATCATCCAGACTGAATTAAGTGGGTCGTAGTGAAGAGATTCGAATTTATACTGGCGTGCCGTGCCAGTCCTCAAACTATGACTGGATTTATTTCCATCGATGCACAAATCATTGGGTTTGTTTAGTTTTCAGTGCGGAACATTGTGATTACCATGCACGATGTATGGTCATTCATCGACGGATGGAATGTCACGTATGAGATCGAAAATGTTAACGGACAAGATAATATGACAACAAGAAGTGTACGTGCTGCTAATGTCTTGTCTTCAGGAGAGCTTGATGACTTCATGCATTGGTGAGCGGGAAAGCGAAAATGCTTTTGATGTGATGCGGTAATACCCTTAGGTCCTCAGACCATTTTCATATGTTGTATCAGTCACAGCACTTTATATGTATATTTCATTGTTTTACCAACATCATGCCTATCATATCTCTTTATCGATTGACATCTTGACATCTTTCTCTTGGCCATAATTCGGCGTTTGTAAATGCTCACTAGCAGAAGTTCAGTAATGCTGAACCTTTTTTTTTAGTTTGGTTTCATCCAGGTCAAACTCTTGCGGATCATTGCGTTATTTCCATTCTTCAGAAAGCTCTGGCATTGGACGAAAAATGTTGTATGTATTCAAATTTCAAACCACTCATTGCAGTATGTTTTTCTGGAAACCTAAATTTTTAACTTCGTCATAAAGTCTGACTCATGAATGCTAGTGAGCCAGAACGATTCTTCCGTTTAGCATGCCCATTATTTCTGGATGAGTCTGATAACCATTTCCTTGGATTCGTAAAGTGATGGGATAGCTTGTTTGGCTCGAATACGATGTGTGACACTCGCTTTGAATGCAAGCGAAGGACTTCGTCGTTAGTTGAGAACGCTCATACGCAATTACGTAATGATAGTCCGTGACAAAGAGCACTCATTCGGTGATTAGCAAAACACTAAGTGATGGCATCCTTTTAGTTAATTTGGCTATGAAAAAAAATTCGGGTTTAGTTGAAGCTTTCAAAGTCCTCAGTTTTTGGACCTTCACCAAATTTTGTTCATGATTTTGTGAAATTTCGATTTTGACGGGAGTTTCGGCTTAACTGGACTCAGTATGGATTTGTGCTGCCCAAATCGTTCCCGTTCGCGAGTAATTGCTTGTGACATCGTTAGGGTGAAAAATCTGGCTGGGAGAAATGCAAGACAAGGGACTCAGTGGTGCAGTGGGTAATGTCTAAGCTCAAGGAAGGGTAATCACGGATTCGAAGCCGGCGTGGGGTTCCGGGTTTTGCAAATATCTCAGCATCATTATAGTTGTATTTCACATAATGCCCTGCCGTGAAAAAAGTGATAGGCGGTGGATAAAGTGTTATACACTGTTTTTTCACTACTTTTTCGACTGGCATTCATTGCATGGTATGTTTGGCTCATAACTGGTGCAGCTGTTATCGACGGAGTGGGAGTGCATCTGAACTTCAGCTTTTCGTAAAGATTGCTCAGTGACAATTCAATGTGCTGTGATCAACGTTCAATGATAATGTGTTGGGATTTACAATCACATAAGAATTTTATGCTTTAGGAAATTACGAACTGATATCAGACCCCGGAATATTTCTAGATAAAGAACGCCGCTATATTAGAAAACTATCTAACAGATTCGCTACTCAGTAATGAATGGAATTTTTATTCTGATATCGTTTTGTTGGTTATTCTGTTTATTTGCCTTCCGCGCCGCCGAGCGGAGCACAAGAAAAACAATTCTATAGGAGGAATCATTTATCGACGCTTTTTTCGCTCTAGAAGATGTTCACCGTGAAGAGAAGAACTATATCGGATACTTCGAGCTTTGTATTGAAGGATGCGACCCTGAGCTAGGCTGGTTGGATTTGATTCAGTACAATGGTAGATCGAGGGTTTTCATTCCAAGTTAGGCTAATATCTGGGTTTTGAATTCTAATTCGATTTCCAGCAAAGTTTGTAGAAAATGACAGACGATGTCATCTAACACAGTGCTAATCCGTTCATGTCAAACACACATCTTTCTTCTCAGCTTAGGAAATTTTAGCACATTCTTGCAAATTTTAAAGTTCGCGAATCAATGCAAAAACTAGAAAAACTCATTGGAAATGATGACGTAGCCGAATACTTGTACAGTCCGTACCAACTGCTGATGATTCCTCTACTATGAAATAGTCCTTGCACCTACTTTGCAAATCTGTCGTCTCTCACGCTAAAACTACTTGAAACATTCGCCGGACCACAAATGTTAGAGTGGCATGGTTATCCTGACGGTGTTTTCGTTGTTATTGATTGTACAACGTCATTTTATAATAGATGCTTTTTGCTACATATTGTTGCCGCGTGTCATTTTGTGCCTTAGTTATTACAAAATTAAATTGTTACCATAGTATTGTTTCTTCTAACCCTTAATTTACTCATTTAAGGATGGTTAGAAAGTTGTAAAAGCAAAGGCTTCTCCTTGTTCTGCCTTCGTGAGTTCAAACTAGAACAGACCGTCACCGATGAACTTGAAATCTACACCAAGCACAAGGATGTGGAACCATGGGCAATCTACGCGCTGTTTGAGAATGTTCGAGAGATCTCACACGACGGAAAATATGAGTCCTGGTGGCGAAGCAGCTTGTAATATTTAACACATCACATATTTCCTGTGCAATTTTCTTTTCGAGACCCCAAATCCATGCTCTTTTTTGTTTTCGTTTGCTGTAATTATGAGGGTCTTATTACTATTTTTTCCATTTTAATTCATATTAGATTGATCTGGTTGAGATAAAGGTACGTGGGATTTCTTGGATAGCACGTAGGTGGCGTTATGCGGCCATCTCAGTGCAAATCGTTTTGGTGTTTGTTTTGCTATAACATTCGGCAGCTTATCGAAAGCAGGTCTTGTGCTAGACATGGCACATGGTAAAGCTATCCTCAACACAAAATAATTCCCAAAAAACCTTTCCCGGAAGAATTTTCAATGCACACAGCGCATTGTGGATAGGCTTCAAGCTGCAGCCGGGAAAAATTGCTCACCCATATGTTGCGTACGTGTTGATGGAAGCCATCAGTGAAAAGAGATAAAAATTTGATTTCTAGAATTGACCACAGAAATAGTAGTTTTTCCACTATATCTCTTCCTTCTAGCGGCGCGTGTTGTGCAGCGGTTAGACGCATCCAGCAATATGCACTAGATCGATTTCTGGTTCGATCTCACTACCTGGCCTCATAAAACCTATCTGTGTACGTTCGGCAAATCGCTACCACAGTTTTCTTGTCTGGGAGAGTAGCAGCACCGATATGACTCACGGGTACGCCACCCCGGGTCACCATATGGCCTAGATATGCATTCAGTCACCTTTGACATTACTTATACAATCCTAGGCATGGTGATCCTATAAGAATGACCAACTCCGAACGCTTTATCTTCTTTTGTCCTTTTCTTCCATACAAATATGGTTTCTGTGTTCTAGTAAGTTTAGTTCTATCCTCAAATGTTGGAATATGAATGTCGTGATGCTGAGAAATTTGTTTCGAATTGGCAGCAATTTCACGTACGTGTTCACCGACCGTGACAAGAAAAGCAGGGTTCATGAGGTTGCCAAAGGTCACGGACGTCGGAGCCCCTTACTTGTCGGCTAAAGGTAAACGACGGTTAGCAAGCTTAAATCCGCATTCGCCAGGAAGTGTTCGGTGAAAATGTAATCCGTTAAGGAACTGCTACTTCATCAAATGGTATGGAATTCCTAGTTGTGCGCTTTCATCTGGAAGATATTTATGTAGATGAGTCAATTCTGAAGTTCGTACCCTGGAATCCAATGCTCGAAATGGGTTTAAGCCCAAAAAATTTTCGAAAGAAGCTGCGGCTTCGTTTGTACTCTATAAGAGCGAGCAAGTATAACAGTAAATGACAGATGTTTCGCGTGGAAGGACGTCGGCCACCTGTGAGTGTTCGAACACGTGTGCTAACAATGGTGGTTCTGTGTATTTTGTGAATAGTTATTTGTTCGAGTAGATCGAAGAATGGAGGTACCCGAGGTGTAATATGACACTGTGGGTGAACAAAGAGGTAATATGTTCGAGTTAAACACCGAAGTAAGTTGGGAGACTTGTTCGATAAGGTGTTTTCTGCTATTTCTGCTAATGAAATTATTGATTTAATAATGCTGATGATGTGTGTTCCACATGTTACCGTATTTAGTGGTAAATACGAAGTATGACATGATCATTAGTTTCCACAATGACCTAACTAACTATTTAGACAAAACAAATATGTGGGCAACGTTCTTTGAACTGTTGGAGTCATCATTGAAGAGTTTATCTTCTTATCTGTAAATAGTAGGTCTGTAAAAGCTCGGTGTATTTTTGACGTCTGCGATTCTTTGAATATACCGGAAGCGTTTGTCGCCTTATTGACTAAAGTCGAGTTATCGGTTGAACGGCTAAGAAAGCACTAAATCAGAAACACATTGGCTATCCTCCTTCATTACTTAGGGGTAGTGAATACATGCTGTAACTGCCGTTCATACATCAATGGGGAATTTCTCCTTCAGCCAGATGATGTTTTCGCGTAATGTTATGCTCTTATGTGCGAACAAGCATATGGATTTAATGTATAAAGAACTTTTCGGAATCATCGCAGCGACGATAGAAAACGACTTTACAGCCGTATGGAGACAGTAACGCTCTGCAATGCACGTGGGAGCAATTTCCGCCCCCTGACCCGCCAAGTCCATCCTTCTGGGGTCAACAGATTGGTAACAGACTTGTCTGAGAGGATAGCAACACTAGCTAGATATATCGGTAGGCAGCCGCGAGTCATGTAAAGGTCAGATATGCATTCAGTTACCTCCAACGATGCTTATTGACGTCTAGTGCATGGCGCATCCCTAAGGGATAGATCGACGCCGAGAGCTTTCCTTTTTTATGGAGACAGTGATCAATTTTATGACGTTTCTAGTAGTTGTTTATGAAAGTGTTTATGGTCATGAATGCCGGTCCTTCGCTCATATTATCTATCCACTGCATTAATCTACTAGGTAGTAGCTGACACTTTTGAATAAGAGTACAGTGCTGTCTCTGATGCGTTTCTTCTCTCTTTTAGCAGTTCTGACGTTGTTGTACAAATGTATATGTATGATTAGTGTGGTAATTCCTCCCAACGTTCACCGCCTCATCGTGGCTGGGAGGTATTCCTGGACGACGGGTTGCGATGTACAGCGGGGTAATTCATCTCCCTGGTTGGGTCTCCTAAGATGGGAAGGGGTCCGGCGTGTTCATCAGGAAGCCTAGCTAGGAATAAACCAATACCAGGATCTACCACCGTCCTAGTATCAAAGTCGCATGGTGGTAAATCTCCCTTTGATCCACAAGGGCCGCGACTGCCTGTCGTGGTGAAGACTAGGGGCAAACATTGGCCAGGGTGATCTCGGGATTCCAGGGACCGGAACATTTTTTTTCGATAGAAATCATCTAGAAACCTTACCTCTTCCGAGTTTGAGGGATCCATAAAGAACGTTTTACGCTTTGACATTTCATAGGCAAGCCCTAAGTCGCCAATATATGTTCATCGGAAAAAATAACAAAAGAAACGCGATTCTTCCATAGTGTACTCTTAGGATTGATCATCTCGTAAGTTCACGAGAATTCTCTCCGTTGAATTCCACGTTCTTCGTGTTATTTACCTCGTTTTAGTGAGGATTCAAACAGTTGCGCGCACACTTCTTCCTTGTTTAGTTGAAAATCCATTTGTTTTTACTCTAGACATATTAAAAGTATAGTCGTTTCCACTTAAGGATCATACGATACTAGGATGCAAGAAATCCCTGGAACAATTCCTAAGTTCAGGCAATCTTCAAACTCTCGGTGGTACGAGAAGTGACAAAAAAAGGATAAAAACCTCCCTATTTGACGAAACGAATACAAGTCGTTTTATGATGGCGGAATAATGATGGCCATCGGAACACTGTTGTATCTGCCGTTTTGAAGCTGTGGGTCGTGTTGGTTCTTTTGAATATTTCTGCAACTCTAGGCATGAGTGCAATTTTTAGGGCATTTCCTTTCGGGAGGTGGTCAATATGAATAATGAGGCGCTTTCCTGCTGTTATGGAAGTGTAAAATGAGCGAATGAATGAATGACTGTTGCTCATCATACTGCAGACGGACGACTGTAGCTCGGATTCGTTCAGCACTTTCAGTACAACCACACGAATTCCAGTGAATGAGATTTTGCGTCGTTTTCTTTCTCAACAATCGCGAGGTTGTTAAGCAGCGTACGTTTACTTCCATGCAATAACACATACAACAATTGTAGCTAACGTTTCGGCAGAATCGCCTTCTTCAGAGCCTCGAGGGGCATAGTGATATGCAATTTACTACGTCAAACGCTTCAATAGCATACAGAAAGATGAGAATCTGAACGGTAGTCACATGATCAACAGCTTCACAAAAAACCTACCGGTTTTTTACGTGCCTTCCACTGAGGAAGAGTCGCTGATCAGCGTTGCATGTGGTTAACGACTGCACCTCCCCATATGAACGATCAATACGAAGGTTCGGGGCGAGATCACATGTGGTCTCGGGGCATTCCTCCCTGCTGTTCATTTTAAGGTTTTTGGCATTTATCTAAAAAGCCTCAGGAAGCTTGCGCGCTGATGTTTTGGTATCATTTGCGAGTGACTTTTGAGTGAGTGATAATGAGGTTTGTTTGCGAATGTTGAAGGGTAGAAGACATATCCATAAGCAGTCTTTGGCTAATATGCATAACGAAGACGTTAATGTATAGTAAAATAAGAAAGGTAAGAGAAGTGGAATGTATGGCATGAAAATTCCCTAGAAGATATGTTTTATTTTTTAGAGTTTGAATAGCTGAGAGTACGAAATTGACGAAGAAATTTTATGATGAAGTACTAACTAGGCAGAACATAATACCCACCTAGGATAATACGAATCCTAGAGTTCTTGCCCTAATATGGTTGTAAAATTACCAACTCCCTACTTTCTGCTTACAAAAACTTTTGTGTAACTATCGGATTATGGCGGTATCCTAATTCTTTTTTTTCCAGGGAAGATTATGTCGAAATTATGTGAAGAAAACTTATTTCACTTTGAATGAACAAATAGACGAGACAATTTTATATTTACAGCTGAAGTGAAGAGGCGATAGATTGCCAACGTATGTTTTTGTATAGATGAATACCTGCGCATGTTTGTACGTGAATATACGTGTATATGTAAGTATTCATGTATGTGTATGAGTGCGTGTTAGTGTATTGTGTGTGTGTATGTGTATGTGTATCTATGAAGGTATGCATGTAATGTAATGTATGTATGTGTGTATGTATGCATGCATGTATGTATGTACGTATGTGTTTTGTATATGTATGTATATATGTATGTATGCGTGTATGTACACGTGTGTGTATGCGTTTAAGTATGCGTGTATGTATGCATGTATGTATGTATGCGTGTATATATGTATGCATGTATGTATGCGTGTATGTCCACATGTGTGTATTGACGCATGTATGACCGCATGTATGTGGGTATGTGTGTATGTATATATGTACGTAGACCTGTTTATTCGTCCTTGACTATTTCCACATATTAATGCGGACACTCTTTACGATAGTATCGTTTTTC